CACAGAGGTCAACCTGGTCATCCTCTGGCTCCCCCAGCTCTGGGCTGCAGCCCCAGCGCTTCTGCACTCAGTTCAGGGACCATGCTACCACCCTCCATCAGCTTGTCCCATCCCCCCAGATTGGATGGCGATCCCTAACATCCCTCTCTAAGGGGACTTAGTTCACTTTGGTTTACCCACCAGCTCACAAGCTTCAAAGGGCAGGACTCAACATCTCCGTATCCCAAGAGCCCAGCATATCATAGACCCTCAGTCAGTGTCTGCTGAATGAATGAATGCATGTCTGCCAATTACATCTGGGTGGGGGGGGGGCCCCACAGCCAGCAGGTGTGCTGATGTGATGTGTAAGGGGTGAGGGGCTGCAGGCAAGTTACAGCCCCAGCCACGGCTCCAAGGGCCAGGAGGCACTTCGAGAACTGGATGGTGCTGTGGGGCTCTGGACATGAGTTCTCATCTGCTCCAACGTTCTTTTTCTTTGGAATTAAAACCCAAGATGTGACCTAGGACATCCATTTGACCCCTAAGCTTGCAGCCTGCTTGATACCAGCTAATTTCTATAGCAACTGAGCTCTGTTTGGGGAACATATTTTCTTCTCTTTCCATGATACGACTTCCATTTCTACAAATGCCGTGCAAGTAGCCAGACATGGAGGTTCATTTTTTAAATGAAAACAGCAATCATTTATTGGCTGAGTGCTGTGTACCACGAACCCACACTCTATCTAGGTGACTTGCCCAAGGTCCCCCAGCTTACATGGTTAAGGCCAGAATTTAGCCACAGGACAGAATCTATCCACTATTCCTAACAGCAAAAGAAAGCTCTTTTTAGACTGGGGTGAGAGATGGGGGCAAGAGAAAACATGTCTACTTCTCAATAGGAGCATTATTCCTAGGGCTGTACTGTCCAATAGCCACGTGTGGCTCTTTACATTGAAATTAACTAAAATCAAATGGAAAATTCATGTTTTATGAGGGCCTCCACCCCACCAGCCACAGTTAAGTGCTCCACGACATTGTGGGGCAGAGATATAGAACATTTCATCATCACAGAAACTTCTGGACGGTACTGGTCTAGGGCCCCTCCCCCTCCAGAACTGGGAGACTCTGGTCTCTTTTTAACCCAAAGATCAACCTATGCTGGGATCATTCATTTCCCTCTGTCTGCTGGGATCATGTAAAAGCCTACTGTTTTCAGCCCCAAGGACTCCTCTTGCCAAAAGGTCAAGGCTATTTCTTTAGCAGACCCAAACTACTTTAAAAAAGAAAAAATAAAAAGCTCAGCAGAGGCTCCACTTCTGCCAGGCACTCCTTGCCAAGTCCCTGCTGGTCCTCCTCTCTCCCCTGGTGCAGGGACCTCTCCCTGGCAGCTCCCTGGGGCTGGGCAGTGGGGAACCACACTCTCCCAAGAAGGCTGCCATCTGGCTGGCTGAGTCGAAGCTCATGCTGCTTGCCAAGGACAAGCATTTGCCCAGTACCTAACTCATTTGTCATAACTCCCAGCCTGCTCCTAACAAAGGACACAAGGATGCTGCAGGCAGTTCCTGGAACCCCACCCCACCAAGCTCATCCGGTGTGTTGGAAGCTTGGCCCCGGGTCCCCACTGTAGACTTGCACTTACCTGGTTGTGGATAGGCTATAAATAAGTCTTTGAAGATCCTGATTTATTTACTCATGGTTGTTTTCTGTTCCCCCACGCAAGCCTTTAATCTCAGCATGCTCTGGAACATTTTGAACTATAAAACACGAGGCCAGGTCTGACCTTGTCTTTGGCTTTATGGCATGCCTCTTCCTAAATTTTCTCTGACCTAGTTTGATTATTTTTAAATGAAAGGGAATTAAAAATTAAAGCTGATGATGCCAGACCTCCCTCGGAGAGGCCTGAGCCTTGCAAAGGTGGAAGAAGTTTAGGCTAACAGGAAGTCTAGGACCTACCATCCACTTGCAAGGGGACTTGGTGAGCTAGTCCCACCATCCCCACCCCCTCCCCTATATCGCTGTCCTGCCCAGTTCACAGCTCACGGTGAGATGGCAAATAAGAAACCCTTGTTGGGAGAGCCGGGGCTGTGGATAATTTGTTGAAGAATTCATTGTATATAGATTGTTCCAAGCCGTGTATCTAAATGAACTTCTCAAGGGAAGGGACTGTGACTGCTGTAGACTGAACTGTGTTCCCCAAATTTGTATATTGAGTTCCTGACCCCCAGTATGATGGTATCTGGAGATGGAGCCTTTGGGAGGCAATTAGGAATTAGGTTTAGACAAAGTAGCTCCAATACTTAGGCCACCTGATGCGAAGAGCCGACTCATTAGAAAAGACCCTGATGGTGGGAAAGATTGAAGGCAGGAGGGGAAAGGGACGACAGAGGATGAGATGGTTGGATGGCATCACCGACTCGATGGACATGAGTTTGAGCAAGCTCTGGGAGATGATGAAGGCCAGGGAAGCCTGGCGTGCTGCACTCCATGTGGTCGCAAAGAGTGGGACACGACTGAGCGACTGAACAACAAAAGTCGTGAGAGTGAGGTCCGCCTGGTGAGGTGAGTGTTTAAGAGGAAGGGAGAGACCAGGTCCTCCCTCTCCCCTCTCCATCCCACCACATCAGGGCACCAAGAAAAGGTGGTTGTCTACAAGCCAGGAAGCAGGCCCTCAGCAGGAAAAGAACCTGCTGGCTCCTTCATCTTGGACCTCCAGCCTCCCAGACTGTGAGAAGCACATGTCCATCGTTGAAGCGCCCAGCCTGTGGTGGTGTTCTGCTGACCCAAGCTGACGAAGACAGTGGCTTCTTCATCACAGCGTCCCTGAGGTCTGACACAGTGCCTGACACACTGGAGGCTTATTTAGGAAATCATGGGGCAGAGTTTGTTTAGGCTCTGCCATCCCACCATCCTGACCTGGTCAATGGGACCTGCACCTCAGTTACTCTTGGTCTGATGGACTTCGTCCTGTCCACATTGTGACCCAGAGCACCCATTGTGAGGGGATGCGCACCTGCGGTCAGTGAACAGGTATTCATTCTCATGACTTTGGTGGCCGGGGGTGGGGGGAGGAGGCAGTGGATGGGGCACTGCAACCAGACCTAACCCCAAATCCTACCAATACAGCCATCTGATTGATCTGATCATCAAACACAGGACATTTGTGAATGGTAACACATTCATTGTACAGAAACTCCTGCCCCGCCCCTCAGGAACCTGATTCAACCCGGCTCTAACACAGACATGGTACCTCTGGGATGCTTCCTGGTGGAGGAAGGCTTGCATGAGTTGGCCTCAGGATTTGAGGAAGCGAGTTCCCCATCATTAAAGTGGGTTTTGATGAGATACCGGCTGCCCTGAGCAGAGCAGGCTGGGGGAGGCGCTGCAGGAGAAGGGCAGGGAGACAGCAGAGCCCCTGGAGCTGGGGAGGGCCAGAGAGCCTGCCCCAGAAACCCCTGTGACCTGGCCCCCGCTGGTCCTCAGAGCTGAACTCCTGGATAGACACACCTCGTCTATTCATGAGGTCTCACACAGCGCGGTATGCCATCAAAGGCCGGGACCACGAGTCAGCAGCCCTGGCTGCACATTAACCATCCCCAGCATTGTGTTACCCAGAGAAGCTGGATCACCTCCATGTCTTTTTGTGATGCTTCTGCCAGATGAAAGGGATTAAACAAAACCTGAAAAGAGGGGTGGCCGGAAGCCAGGGTGACCAAACAGATCCCAGAGGTCACACTTGTCTGAGTTCAAGGGAGAACCCAGCGGGTCCCTGGGAGACAGGAAGGCAGAGCTCCTCCTACAGAATCATCCTAGGGTCCCCCTCTCCCCTCCCACTTTCCAGCTACCCAACCCTGGTACCCCCATACCCACTCCCTCGGCAATTCCCTCCTCTCCCACGTGGGAAGATGTGGTCCAAGACCACGGTCGGGCTGGAGGCCTGGGTTCTCTGTTAGCACTAGGGCCCCAGAAGACTCTGCTTTTGGAAGGGTGTGAGCTGTGACCTCTGGGGGGCTAGAGGTCGAGGGGGTTATGTGAGAAGGGATCAAATTGTCTTGGAGGTGGAAAGGGGGAAGAGAATCCTTCCCTCCACCCCCAGCAAGAACTGGCCACTGGGACTGGCTGCCGCCAGCTGGGGTGGGGAACAAATGGATCCCTCCCAGCACACACGGACCCGGAGTTCAGGAGGGCGGCTTAGAAAGGACAAGGAGACCACGAGAGGCAGTCAGTCCTTCATTTCTCTCTTCTGCGACATCAGCATCAATAAGGGTCCCAGGCAGCTCCCACCAAGCAGGAGCAGCACGCTGGGCACCCTCCCTCTGCAGGGCCCTCCCCAAGGAACCAAACCCCAGTGAGACCACCCTCCGAGTACCAGCCGCGACCGTCACACACACACACACCACAGTCCTAGGGTCAGGCCGCCCACGATAGCACCCAGGGCAGTGGGGCACTCGGGGTTGAGGGCCATCAAGCCATTCACACCTTCCTAACACATGAGTGGCCATTAAGTGCTGGGCACTGGCCTCGCACTGGGGACATGCTCCCCCCTCCCCAGCTGCAGCTTCTAGCTCCCGTCTGGGTATCTCTCAGTCTGTTGAGACTCCCCGCCCCCCCCCCCCCTCCGGGATGGACCCTGGACAGCCACAGCTGACCAGTCCAGATCTGGGCCATCTCACCCAGGGCCTCCAACAGTTCCCTCATTCAATGCCTGAGAGCTGGGATCCCACCTCCAAGGAAGGACACGTCCAGGCTCCACAGTGCGGGATGTGATATTTCTGCCTTCGACCCTTCCCCGGACTTTTCCCGATCCCCTTTTTGGGAGGCTCCTGGAATCTGCTGTCAGGTCTCAGAGCCTTGAGGAAGGCACCTTTGGAGAGGGTCTCAGCCCCTGCAGTTCTAAACGCCATCATTCCTGGTCACTCGCCCACACGCACCAGACAAGCCTCCTCCCACCCCGCCCACGGGCCTGCGTGGGTCCAGCCGCACTAGAGCGCGTCTCCCTTGGCGCTGAGGGTGGGCTCCAGAGCCCCCAGGTGAACGCGCTGGTGCTTGAGGAGGTGCTGCTTCTGGCTGAAGCCGCGGCCGCAGGAGGCGCACAAGTAGGGCCGCTCGCCCGTGTGGTTGCGCCGGTGGCGCGTCAGGTTGGGCTTCTGGCTGAAGCGGCGGCCGCACTCGGGGCAGGGGTAGGGCCGCTCGCCCGTGTGGATGCGCTGGTGGATGGTGAGCGCCGACCACCACGAGAAGCTCTTGCCGCACTCGTTGCAGATGAACTGGCGCGGCTCGCCCGGCGCCCCGGGCCGCGCCCGGCCCCACGGCAGGTCCCCGGGTTCCCGGGCGGGCGAGGGGCCCCGGGTCGGCGGCGACAGGCCAGGGACGGCCTGGGCGGGCGGCAGGGCGGTGGCCGCCGCGGGGCGCGCGCGTGGGTGAGCCCGCAGCGCGGCACGGGCAGGGCGGGGCGTGGCCCGGGCGCCGGGCTGGTGCGTGCGCTGGTGCTTCAGCAGGTGCTGCTTCTGGCGGAAGCGGCGGCCGCAGTGCACACAGGGGTGCGGCCGCTCGCCCGTGTGGTTGCGCAGGTGGCGCGTCAGGTTGGGCTTCTGGCTGAAGCGGCGACCGCACTCGGGGCAAGAGTAGGGCCGCTCGCCCGTGTGGATGCGCTGGTGGATGTTCAGCGACGACCACCACGTGAAGCTCTTGCCGCACTCGTTGCAGATGAACTGGCGCGGCTCGACGGGTGCGGCGGGCCGGGCCCCGGGCGGGCGCCACCAGCCCTGGCCGAGCCCCAGCCAGGCCCACTCGGGGCGCCCCCGCTGTGGCCCCGGCCGCGGGCGCCGGCTCCGGGGGGCCGCGGCGTCCCGCCGCAGCGCCGGCAGCCCAGCGCGGGCGACCTGGCGGTCCCGCGCGTGCGCACGCTGGTGGATGCGGAGGCCCACCTGGTGGCGGAAGCAGCGCGCACACTCGGGGCACGGGTGGGTGGCGGGCCGGGAGTGGGTCTTCTGGTGCTTGAGCAGGTGCTGCTTCTGGCTGAAGCGCCGGGCGCACTCGGGGCAGCAGAAAGGCCGCTCGCCCGTGTGGTGCCTCTGATGGCGCGCCAGGTTGGGCTTCTGGCTGAAGCTCTTGCCGCACTTGCCGCACGGGTACGGCTTCTCGCCCGTGTGCGTGCGCTGGTGGATCTTCAGCGACGACCACCAGCTGAACCTCTTCCCGCAGTCCGGGCACACGAAGTGACCCTCGCCGGCAGGAAGAGCCGGGCTCAGGGGGCCGGGAGCCGCCCCCGGGGCCCGGCCTGCTGGCCCCACTTCCTGCTCAGGGGGAGGGGCCCATCTTGGACCCCCTATCTTGTCCGGGCCCCCCCAGGCTCGAGGCTTCCTTGCCGCAGTCTGGTATGGTGCGGGCGCCCGACAGGGCCGGAAAATGTTCTCCTTATCCTTCTGCGAAAGCACGGCCTGCGTCTGCAGCAGCCACTCGGGCTTCTCCTGCTTGATCTTCATCACCAGCCCATCTGCTGCCGGGGGAAACGGAGAGAGGTCAGGGAAAGCCATTCGGTGGGTGCTGTGCTCCTAGGGTGGAGGCAAAGGGCGGGGCGGTGGGGGGGCAGGGAGCATCAGGAGGGCAGAGCAGGGCAGAAAAGGATGCAGACGGAATATAGGAAAGCGAGAAGAGGCAATGGGGCAAAGGAGAGAGCAGGGAGGGTGGGAAGGACAATACAGTCAGAGGAGTGTGCAGGAGGGCAGAGAAAAAAGAAACGGTGAGTGTTGCAGGTGCCAAGCACGTTGCTGCCCGCCCCTCTACCCTGAGGCCCAGGAGAGGCAAAGAAGATAAAGAAGCCAATCCAGGGGAGTCTGCCGACCCCGGGAGTAAGCGGGACGTGGCCAAGTTTCAAAACATCTGGTTCTCATCCTACGAGGATGGACGTGCTGGGCGCTTGCTGGGTGAGTGCATGCCCAGTCCCCCAGAGGTTGGGCAACCAAGCCCGGCATCACTGCCAGGCAGCTCCCGGGCAGCAGCTGTGGTGCATGATCACCTCACCTGCTTGGCAGCTTCTTTCTTCAACAAAACCAAGAACAAGAAAGCCAGCCAGAAAGCTCTCCGCGCCCAGAACAGGTCAAGTGTTGCCTCGTCCTTGTACTAAAGGAAGCCTACACACCAGCGGCACACTCTGTCACTAACCCGCCCCTTAGACCAGACTCAGGTCTGCTGGGAACTTTGCTTCCAGGCTCCTGGACATAAGCCTTGATGGAAAAGGTCTGCTACAGACACTACATATACAGGCTATCTGAATTCCATTTATACAGAGGTCAAAAGCTGGCAACTAAAGGATGAGTTAGAGTTAAGAGTAATGCCCCTGACAGAGGGTGCTGTGGTTGGAAGGGGGCCTGGGGCACTTCTAGGGTGGATATATTCTCCTTATGGATCTGGGTGCTGGTTACATAGGCATGCTCACTTTGAGAATTTATAGAGCCTGAGACCTGTGTACTTTTCTGTGTGTTATATGTCAATAAAAAATTTATGGCCTATAAAAATAAATGAAACCGGGACTGCCCGGGCAATCCAGTAGTTAGGACTCCATGCTTCCAAAGCAGCAGATGTGGGTTTGATCCCCAGTCAGGGAACTAAGACTCCACATGCTGTGCAGCCAAAAAAAAAAAAAAAGTTGAAAAAAAAACAAATGTGAACAAAGGAAAGAAACCCTAAACAACAGGTGCCCATGTTAAAAAGACAATGATGTAAACCCAAAGGAAGTAAGAGGAGAGAATTAAAACAGATGAAAGCAGAGATTACAGGATAAGGGGAACGTAAAGATATAAAAAGGATTCTGATAAATCCCAAAAACCTATGTATAGACATATCAATTTGAAAAACCTATGTAAAATGGATGATTTTGTGAGAAAATAAATTAACAAAACTGACTCAAGAGGAGGTAGAAACCATGTCTGCATAAACATAGAAGAGACTGAAAAGAAAGCTAAAATTAGACCTCAAAAATGGGTAACAGGTCACTTAACTGTACAAACAAGTTCTACTAAAACTTCAAGGGAAGCACTATTCCCAGCTTACATAGGCCATGACCATGACTAGGCAGGCAGGGGGGTGAGGGGGGGTATGCTGGGGAAGCTTACATGATACATGACCCAAAACAAGGCAAGGGTTGGGTCGGCAGGAAATTATAGGTTTATCTTTCTTTGAGAGTAGAGGTAAAAAAACAAACAAGCAAAAATACTGGCAAAGCAACTTCGGCAATGTTAAGAGAACAACCTATCATGACTTTGCTGGATCTTCCCAAGGAAAACAAAGATGACTCAACACAGTTCATGACACTGACTTTTAAAATATTAAACACCTTACACCATTTCAATAGAGGTGGAAAAGGCACACAATAAAATTCAACATCATTTCTGGAGGAAAATAAGGAGGAGAGGAAGTTAGGAGGAGGAAGGGAGGGAGGGAAAAAGAAAAAAGAAAGGAAGAAGGCTCTTAGCAAACTAGGAACATAAGGAAATTTCCTAAAATAAACAAAGGAGCTGCACTAGAAACTGTAGCAAATGTACTAACTGAAGGCAAAAGATTAGAAGCCTATTCCAGTTAGGAACAAGGAAAAAAAAGAAAGATATATATATATACATATTGGAGATTAAGAGAAAACTGTCATTTCCTGATTATTATTAACCTATAACTATCATTTACATGAGAATCCACTGAAGTTTGTATTAGAAATAAAAAGTTTCAACAAAACTACCAGCTTAAAAAACATTAAAATTCATAACTTTTTAAAATGGCAATAAAATAACTGTAAGTATACCTAATATATAAGCAAAACATAAAGAAAACTATTACTTTATTGAATGAATAAAAATGTAAATAAAAGAACAGGTACATCATATTTCTAGATAAGAAGCTCTTCACTCCAAACCAATGTTCAAATTCAGTATAATCTTAATTAAGTAAATTATAAAATTTACTGTGTAGTAAATCACCCACAAATTCTAAAAATGATCAAGGAAGAATTTGGCTTATGCAACATTAAAAGCTACAATACTATCACTGCACACCTGTTAGAATGGCTAAAATCCAAACACCAACAACGCCAAATGCTAACAAGGATGTGAAGCAACAGGAACTCTCATTCACTGCTAGTAGGAATGCAAAATGGTACAGCCACTTTGGAAGACAGTGTTGTCAGTTTCTTACAAAACTAAATATATCCTTACAACACAATCCAGCAAATCATTCTCCTGTATATTTACCCAAAGGAGTTGAAAACTTATGTCCACACAAAAAACCTGCCAACAGATGTTTATAGCAGCTTTATTTGTAACAGTCAAAACCCAGAAGCATCCAAGAGATGTCCTTCAGTGGGGGGATGGATAAACAGTGGTATACCATACAATGGGGTATTATTCAGCGATAGAAAGAAATGAGCTCTCAAGCCATGGAAAGACATGGAGGAAATGTAAATGCATATTACTAAGTGAAAGAAACCAAGCTGAAAAGGTACACTGTATGACTCCAACTATATGACATTCCAGAAAAGGCAAAACTATGAAGACAGTAAAAAGAGAGATCAGTGGTTGCCAGGGGTTGAAGGATCTGGGGGAAGGAATGAAGGAGGATTTTTAGGGCAGTGAACCTGCTCCGTATGATACTATAGTGGTGGGTATAGGATGTTAAGCGTTTATCCACAGAATGCACAACATAAAGAGTGAACCCTAATGCAAACTATGAACTTTATGTAATAAAAATGTATTAACAAAGGTTCATCAGTTGTAGCAAATGCACCACCCAATGCAAAATGTTGATAATGGGAGAAAATGGGGACTTCCCTGGCAGTCCAGGGGTTAGGATTTCACCTTCCAGTGCAAGGGGTGCAAGTTCAGTTCCTGGGGAGCTATGATCCCATATGCCTCATGGCCAAAACACCAAAACATAAAACAGAAGCAATACTGTAACAAATTCAATAAAGACTCAAAAGATGGTCCACATTAAAAAAAAATAAAATCTTAAAAAAAAAATTTTTAATAGGAGAAATTGGAGAGCGGGGGCAGAGGGCACTCCCTGAACTTTCTGCATTTTCTCTTATAAACATAACACTGCTCTAAAAAATGAAGTCCATTTTTAAAAAGTCTTGACAGATGCAGTTGTTATTGATATGTCTGCTCATAGTGAGCCAGGTAAGGTGAGGCTGTGAGTGAGGGTCTCACCCACCCAAAAAAAAACAAAAAACTATAAACAATTATAAATGTTGAATACACATAACCAACAGATAAATCAAGAGAACAGAAACATTTGATAAGTGATACACGGTAGCATTATACACAGTAGCATTCCAAGTCAACAGTGAAAGGCTGGCCTATCCATCAGTTTAGGACAAACTAATTATTTGGGGGAAATATTCAAGTTAGGTTTCTAGTTCATACAGTTTATAAAAATCAGTTCCAGATGGATTTAAGTGCTGGTTTAAAAGAAGCAAATACATGTAGAAGAATTAGGAGAATTTGTTTAGAATCCAGAGGTAATTGAAAACCTTCTTAAATAGGATGCAAAACATAAAAAATAAATTTAAAACACCTGTATGACAAAAGTCCCACACATGAGTAAAGTAGAAATGATTTGTTTGGGGTGGCCTTTCCCAACAGAGCTTTCCACAAGAGTGAAAATGCTTTGTTGCATCCAAGCTGCCCAATACATGTGGCCTCTATAGCCACACATGGTTCCAGAGCACTGGAAATGCAGCGAGTACAACCGAGGCCCTGAACTTCTTTTCCTTCATTTAAATTAACTTACATTTAATAACCACATGTGGCTATTGGCCACCTACTGGATAGCACATGTCTGCTGCTGCTGCTGCTGCTGCTAAGTCCTTTCAGTTGTGTCCAACTCTGTGCGACCCCATAGACAGCAGCCCACCAGGCTCCTCCGCCCCTGGGATTCTCCAGGCAAGAACACTGGAGTGGGTTACCATTTCCTTCTCCAATGCATGGAAGTGAAAAGTGAAAGTGAAGTCGCTCAGTCATGTCCCACTCTTTGCAACCCCATGGACTGCAGCCTACCAGGCTCCTCCGTCCATGGGATTTTCAAGGCAAGAATACTGGAGTGGGGTGCCATTGCCTTCTCTGAGCACATGTCTAAGAGAACACATATGCAGATATATAGTAGACCAAGGATTTAATATTAATAGACCAAGGACTATAGAC